TTAGGAAATGCCAAGAATTCAAAGACACTTGTTTGATGAGTCATTGAGCTTCCACAAATGGTCTTAACTTAAGCAGGACTCTTAAATCAACAGATAGAATTTGCTAGAAAGACACTTGCACTAAACAATGAAGTATGATTTTTTTTTTTTTCATTGGCAATTCTTTAGCCTATGGCATGAAATCTGGTGTCTGAAGGACTTGGAGATTGGCCCGGTCCTCGTCCAAGGTGAAAATTCCCTTCACACTGTCCCTGGTTGTTCATTCTCTGTTGGTTCACCAGTGCCGTCCACTCGAGACAGAAAGAGAGCCAATAACAAAGCCACATCTATAACTTTAAATTACATTAAAAAAAAGGTGAAGCTAATTTTAATACTATGTTTTCTTTTAACTCATTATGTCCAAAACGTTACTATGTCAGCACGGAATCACTACAGAAGTTTTTACTGAGATATTTTACACGCATTTTTTTTTTTCATACCAAATCTTCAAAATTCAGTGTATTTTATAATTAAAGCATCTCTTAATTTGGACAAGCCACACCTGAAGTACTCAATAATCACATGGAGTTTAGTGGCTCCTCTATGGGACAGCACAGATCTAATACTGTCACAAAGGAAAAATTCACTCCGATACCTCTGACCCTCCCCTAGAAACCCATTACGTTTCTGAAGAGCTCTAGGTCAGAAAGCTCTTCTTTGTGTTGCGCTGATAAGTTCTGCACACTTCCAATTTCTACCCTGGTCATTATTCTCCCTTCTCGATCATATTTTTAATACTACAGAAATTTCACGCTGGCTTTCAGTAGTAGCAATATATCATGATGTAACCCTGCTCATTTTCAAGTTTTCTCCCCTTCGACCACATTTCTCCATTTTTTTTAAAAAAAATTTTGAAATCAGACTTATTTGAAACCAGCTACTGAATTTTCTATTTAGAGTTATTACATTTCACCTTGCTGGTTGGCCCATTGCTCCAGATGGACAAAATCTCTTTTGGAGCAGAATTCTCTCAACTAAGGAATCAGGTATCCCTCCCAGTTCCACGCCATCCGTGTGTGCGGCCAGCGTGCCATCCGCATCCTCTCCGACACGGTGACAAGTACGTTAAGGTGGACGGGGCATCTGCTGCTGGCTACGAGACCCCTCCCGCTCCGCTCAGTGTCCTCCGCAGTCACCTCGCTCAGGTCCCAGGCATTTGAACAGGTTCAGTCCACATCCCTTCATCTTCCCCCACAGGACATCATGACTCACCTTGTCAAATGTCCTCCCCAGACGTCAAAGTTCTTAGCTGTCAGAACAGGAAATAGATGAATACTTCTTGCTTAATTCGGTGAACCCATGGGGAGCTTGGTCCAGAACCACATTTTTCTCCCTGCAGGCTTCTGTCACCTTTCACGTTCTCCACCGTCCCTCACGGTAATTGATAATGGTTCATGGTGCTCATCTTTTGGCCTCCTCATCCCAAGGATCTTATATAAAATACGTAGTCGGTCTTCTTTCATTCTTTTCCAGCATGATTTCTTTCCTATTGCTATTTACTCTGTTCTTCAGGTCTAAAAAGTATTTTTGAATATTCTAGCATAGGTTATATCATTCTAAAATAATTTTTATGGTTACTTCACTGAAACAGGCTCATATGCATGTAAGAGAGAGAGAGAGAGAGTGTGTGTGTGAGAGAGAGAGAGAGAGAGAGACAGACAGACAGACAGACAGAGAAATGTTTTCCTGGTGGTACAAGTTTCCGAAGTCAGAAATTCTTGTAATTCGGGAGACGAGACGATATTTACTTCTTGGACCGGGCAGAGAGAGAACAAGCTTTTGCCATAGAAAGCCATGATTTCCAAGGGCCTACCGATACCTCTTTTTTTGTTCTTTATCTCTCCTCCCTACCAATTTGCAATTTTTTTTTTTTTTGGCAGTGCTGCTTGTCCTACAGTTCTGTTCTTTTTCTCTATTCCAACTTGTTGCTTTTCTTTACATTAAAACGGTCAGTATCATTTTCTTTTCCAGTCATAAGACCAAGAGATCTGAAGGTCTGTTGTTTTTAAAAGCGCAGAAAAGCAACCAATCAGAGGCCCCGTGGAAGAAAAGATATTTTGCCAGCACCTTCTAAAGCCAGGTCCTATCTGTGGCCCAAAGCTGGGTTGTCCGCTCATCACTGACTATTATGTTTTAATTTTCTGTTTTGGGGTATGGTTCACCTCCTGTTCTGTGAATTCCTGGATGTCAGAGTCTATAGCTTATTCATCTCTATATTATCGGCACCTTGTGCTTAATACTCACTCCACAAATACGGTGCCACAAATGAATCCGCTAATGAATGGATCTCTTATATGACACTTAACACACAACTTCTACTGGAGTGCTTCCTCTTATGAAATACTACTTAGCCAATCCACTGCTATGTTGGTAGCTTTAATGATAAAAAGCTTTTCTTTTGTATTAAACTAAAACCTACCTTTGGAACTTCCATTTTCCCATAGAAAATACCTTTCTCATATATTTATTCTAAATACGAAAATGAAGGCTTCAGGCCTGAGGAAGACAGCCATTTCGTTAAGAAGTCCCGCTATCCCTTTGCTTGTTCAACCATCTTCATTCCAGTGGCATCCCAGCGACAAGCTTCTGGCATGCCAACCACACAGGTCATTTAGGGAGAAATCCAAATTCCATTTAGACAGATTTTGAGCTCTTCTAAATATTGTACTTTCTCAGGCTTCCAGGGGACCAGTGTTTATCACTGGACGAGTACAGTTACAGAAAGATCAAGGACTTAGTTTATTCTGGGTCACGTCCATTGAAACGGCCTGGGTTAAGCCAAGGAGTCCTCTCGTTCCCAACCGCTTTCCTCGGTCTTAGAATGAAATTTCCTGACATTTCGCCCTCCTGCCCAGCATGAACCCCTATGCCCAGGCTGTGCCTGCTTTTTCTTTATTCTGGACCAGCGGTGCTGTTCGGCATAGCTTCTCCTGCTCTCATTACCAGACAATACAGTGCGTGGAACCCAGTATCTCACACTCCTGTTTGGCTCGGGGCTGGTTTGTGAACCACATGTCAGAGCAGAACTTTAAATCTCACGTCCAACACAAAAAGAAATGACGCCAGTGCTTCGAAATGTCTTTTAACATCAAATATGTCAATTCAGCGCCCCCCCACTCCCGACCCCAACCTCGCTCCTTCTTTCTCCCTTGCATTTTTTGTTTTTGAGATGTTTAGAAGTTGTGTCATCTTTGTGAATTATGATTTTAGGACAAAGCATGTCGAGATCATGAATCTACACTAAAAAAAAATACTGCAAGAAACATGTGACCCTGATTATACTGGCTTTGATCACAATAATTTCACTAATTAAAAATTCCGCCGAGGAGAGTGCTGTGGAATCATGTAAACCCTGCGAATTACCTAATAATGATAGAAATATTCAAAGCATTAGTGATTAATGAACAGATGTGAAGAGGCAATGCAAAGTTATGGGAAACCATTTCGAACGGTGATGTCAGCAAGGAACAATTTGCAGACATAATTACTAAAAAATTATCAGAGACTTCCTTGTCAAGTATTTTGTATGTTTATAGAGCTGGTGGTGACTCATTGTAGAAGTCTGGGAGCCTTATTTGATTTGGAATCAGGATTTTATTATAGCTTAGCTGTTATGTAATCGTTTACTCAGACTGATGGGGAGATAGTCTTCCATGTCAACAAACTTGTATGTGTTCAGTGAGGCTTCCTCATAGATCTGAATGCTTTTCTGTATGTTCACGCCTGGAGTATAGTCTCAGTTTGTAAACTGGAGCCCAAGAATGAATGCAAGATTAATAACTGAATAGACTACCGCCAACTCTAATGGATTGGGGCATTGGAACAAAGTTGCTTTACATTGTGAAGTTGATAATGTCATGTGGGGTGGCTGCCTCTGGCATGCCATGACTCGATATATGAGTTTTTTTGGTCATGTATTTGTTGTGCTACTCAGTACAGTAAGTCGAAGTCCTCCATGGTTTTACTAAGGTTAATACAATAATTAGTCAAGC